ATACACCAAAATCGGCGTATCGCAGCGGGAGCTCATTATGAGTTCGTGGCATATGCGAATACATCAAACAATGTCCGGGACAATTCATTGGCTTCAAACCAAATGTTTCTTTCTCAACATCAATTCTAAAAAAAAATATGCATTATTTTCAGGCGGCTAAATCAAAAAAATAATGATAAATATCGGCTATTAGAAGACCAAATCGTAGAAGTGGGCAGTCCAAAATATGGGACGGCCTGAGCAGGACAAAAGGTGGGATAAAATTGACTAAACAATTTGCGGCCGTTAATAGGCCGGACCGTAATCTTCGAAAAAAGCAGGCAATCCAAACCATGGAAAATATGGCACGGCCATAGTGTAACTCGCTCTCCTTACAAAAATATAAAACAAAGTATGCGCTAAAAATACAATTCTTTAGGGAGGAAATTTTCCAATAAAAAAATAATTGGCAAACGCACCGATTGCCGGTGCGAAGATGCGTTTTTTGCATAGTTCCGCGCAGTTTTTGTTGCTACCGCCACCGATTTTTCCAGCAAATGCTTATAGAGACTGGCCGCCAGGACTGTCAGGAAGCTTCCGTTTAAAATTTCAGCTTTCTAGCTTCTCTGGCTCCTCAGTTAGTAACTTACTCACAAAAAACTTTCACGAGCTCGTACACAGGAACCACGCACCCCCGTGGGCTAGGTTTGAACTTATTAGAACCTACACGGACAAAGAACATCCTCTTAAAATTCCAGTCTCCTAGCTTTTAAGGTTCCCGAGTTAGCAACTTACCCAAAAAAACTTTGGCAGGCCCGTACGTGGGTATCATGTAGGTAAGAGCGCCCATTTCGGACACGCATGTACATCAAATTCCCAAAGTTTCAACCTTGTAGCTTTTGTGGGTCTCGAGACGAAAAATTGGTACAAACAAACACAGCGACAATCTCTCGTCAATATGCGTTTTCTGCATTGCATAGATGCAAAAAAAAACGAATAAAATAGAGTAACTTACTTGAACATGCTGTCGGAATAGTGTTGCCAGTGCCCTGATTGCTCCCACAGTTTGCTATTGTACATGTTTGGTGAAATAACCTACAAATAGTAGGAAAAGTGAGCGCAAACTGAAGCAATATGGAATAGTAACGGCTTAAAAATCTCTGCCTGAGCGAACGCATACCTCAGTGAAGCCACGTTTACGGTATTCGCTTCGTATGAAATTACAAAGTGTATTATAAATATGCGCTCCTTTGGGGAACCAAAATGCTGAGCCAGGGCTCAGCGGATGGAAAAAGAACAGCTCCTGATCGCGTCCAATCTTTCTGTGATCACGTTTTGCTGCCTCCTCCTACAAAACAGAAAAATAAAATAAAACATTAATGGACCGAAACATTTCTTACCATTATAATAAAATAAAACAATAATTAAAAAAAAATAATTAAAAAATTAAACAGGGAAATAATTAATAATTAATTATTATCCAATTATTAAATAATAATTCTTTTTATTAAAACAATTTCATTAATTTTATTAATTTCGTAATTCTTTATCTCCACTCTTCTCTTCGTTTCTTTTTGTTTCAACCATTGTTAACATACTTTTCTATTTATAAAAAATGTTGCATCATGACTCCCTCCTAGACAGGTCGTGTAATGGTGCGAAAACGGGCCTATATAAGGCCACCGTATCAGTGCTGTAAAGTAGTGTCGATCCAGTGTGGGGTTGTGGAATTGTGGAGGCGACCCGCACGATGCACGAGGGACGTGAACCCTGCTAATACCCT